TTTTTCCTTTTCTTTCTTTCTTTTTGAAAAAATCCCGGTCTGACCATCAATATTATGTATGCTCTCAAGATTCTTTTCCTTTTCCAAGTTTGATTTATGACTGTGGGTTAGATGAATTTTCTTACTGGTCTTTCATTTCTTCTTCACACTCCTGTTCATTTGCTTTGGCTGGAAGTCAGCTTCTTGTGCAGCATGTTGCCATGCTGCCGCCCCTACTCTGATTCAGAGGGCAAATCTCCGACCTGCGAGAGACCTGTTGCCTCCCCCTGGGTCTGATGAGAAGCTGCCCCTTCTTCGCCCCCACTCCAGGGGGGTTCGATCTAAAAAAGATCTCGGAGATGGTTTGTCAGACAGGGTTCATGTGAGACTCTTGAGAGCCCTCCCACCCCATGTCTGTCCAGCTGGAGAACTAACCAATCAAATCTGCCTCCAGAAATTTTTGATTGGGATTGGTTGCCATGAAAACTACATCATCTTGAAGTTACCAAGTTTGATTTGAAAGATATTTTACTACAGTTTGGAAATTCTGCTGACAAATCCACAATCCATTGCACTGATTTTTCAGCTGCATTGTAGTTCACTATGGAGACTGGGGGCGGGGGGGGGGGAAGGCACGGATTTTTATTTATAAAATTATTATCCCACCTTTATTACTTTAATTGCCATTCTCATAATTAAAATGGTAAATGTTGCATCTGTAAATGTAGATCCAAGGTTGACGATTGGTTAATCTCAGACTCCACTTTTAATGATGAAAAAATGTTAACAGTGGAACACTTATACTAAAGTTCAGTTTGGTTCAACAACCTATAGTGGTGGTTCCTTCTTTCCTTTGTAATAAAAAGACTTATGTAAGGGGCACAGATCTTTTCCAATATGCTTCCTGCTAAGATACCAAGATATTTTAAGATTTCATAGGATATTATATCCATTATGGGATGGGGATCTGCTGAATTTCCAGGAATGAGATGACACTTGTTAAGCAGCTTTTTTCTCTTTTTATTAATCAGATTCCTATGAAGAGCTCAGAGAAAAGCATTTTGAAGTATATGCCCAGCAAAACTCATCTCATCTCAAGGGTGTTATTCACCTCTCTTCTGCCTCTGCCTATGAGTTTGGTCAGCCATGGCTAGAGAAGTTTATTTATTGCTTCTTTTATTGTTCTGTGGGAGAACAATTTCTGAACGGCAGCCTTTGCCTCAAATGCCTTCTGAAACACTAGATTTTGGGTATGTTCCCCACAAGATATACAACACCAACGCTTACTATGAGCCCGGAACAATAGGGATTTTGTTCCACATTGTCCACGCTTTCATCTGCATAGTTCAGCCCAATTACTTCCCTCAAGGTAGGTATATATTTAATATTAATTTGGCTTTGAAAAATAAAAGAAGATCCTATCTGAGATGGCAGTTTTGCAAAGCAGTGTAGTTTATGTTTTGAGAGAAACTCACTGTGCCAAATCAACAGAAGAGAGGAATGATTTTCTTGTGAATAGTTTTGGGTGTGTGTGTGTGTGTGTATAAATATGTATGTATATATATGTGTGTTTTGCTAAATTACCAGAAAGAAGAGTAGTAGAAAAGGTTTTAGAAGAAGAAGCCATCTGGCATTTTCCCCCAGAACAAAAATTGTGTTTTGAGGCAAGATGGTTGTGAATCAAAAGTTAATTTGTTCTTCTTTGAGGGATCTGATTTCTGAATAAGCTTACTCTCTGATTATTTATTTGTTAAATTTATTTGCCACCTGTCCCACTGTGGGGCTACTCTAGGAGGTTCTTTTATTTTTGTCTTACCAGGTAAAATAATAATTGGGGATGGCAGAATATTCCCAAAGTGAAGAATTTGGAAATGTCACATAGATGAAATGGGGGATGTAATTTCTCTCCATAGATATTTATAGAGGACATAGGGAATGGCCTTGAAGGACAGGAGAAAGAGCCACTACCAAGTTAATGATCAGATAAGTGGGGCTTGTATATCTGTCCATTTCTTAAAGCGGACACTCAATACTGAATATGTCATATTATGTATTCATGGGTGTTCCATCTTGTGATAAAAAAATCCTGGCTATGTATTAATTGATGGAAAAGTAGTTATATCATTTGTTTCTGTCATTCTACACTGAAAGAGAGATGGCCAATTTGGCATTAGGTTAATTACATAAGTCTGTATATCTGTGAGTTGCTTAAGTACAATAATATTGTACTGATAATATTATTAGTTACTGATTTAAAGCAGAAGCAGTACTGTTATACAGTTTTCAGTAGGACACAACCTTTATTAAAACAATTAATTGCCTGGCAATGAGAAGCTAACAAGAGTATCTAGAAAGAGGTTGAGAGGTGAAATATGCATTAGGACACAAACTGCACTTTTACATTATTTTAAGAGACATTGGTAACATCATATAAAGGTGGAATTTGCACCATGGATCCCCCAGAAAGTTATGAAAAAAATCAAGATGGTGGCCATGAATGCATGTTTAAAGATCCACCCCCTTTTTTTTGCAAGTATCACCATTCTGACCCACTGTTGATTAGTTGCAGGTGAGTGCATCAAAGTACGTATTGATTTTATACCAACTAAAACATGGACAGGTGGAATTGTGGTTATCCAGGGGAAGGTGTAAAGGAGGTTTTAACAGCCAATGGTACGAAGAATCCCATCCTTTCCTTCTCAGAAAAGCTTTCCTTTTTTATAACCTTTTTGATATTTTTCAAAAGCCTTATAATAAATAAATAAAAAGCCCTGGCATAGGTCTGTTTCTTTATATGAAGAGATGGAGTTCTTTCTGCATAAATCATAAATTTCTTTGTGTTTCTATTTCAGTAATTCAGATAATTTTTAGTTTACAGCTTATCAACTTGGTTTTTATTTTACTTTTGTTTATCTATTTAAGTCTAAAACAATGGAAATAAAGTTTTAAATATTTGTGTAGCAGCTTTCTAAACTGTTCTGCGTCTTGAGCAATTTCTAAACCTTCCTATGTCTCAGACAAGTTAGAAATAAGGTCAGAATAGAAAATAATAGCAGGAGTTGTTGAACCATAAAACTGATTAACCTACCTCAAAAAAACCAAGATGTTTTCTTGGTGCTGAAAAGACCAGAACAGAAACCAGGCAGACTTTGTGGAAAAGACATTTTAAAGTTGGGTGTGTGTCTCCAGAGCAGGTGGGTTTACAATAGGGGAGGTACTGTAGATGGTCTTAAGGTCCATCAGGGCCTGGATGTTTACTTATTGGAGGCCTGGGATGTCTTTGGATCAATATTATTTTGGAAGAATTGTGATTTTTATTGGGGTATTGTTTTATTGGTACACTGGTACAGATGGTATCAAACAGTTTTGGCCTTTAAATATAGTAATGACCTCTTCCAATGAACATCCTGTATTGTTGCCTTGAAAATAGCATCAGATCAGGTAGATGTCCTTTTTATAGCAATCCTTAGTTGTTTACTGAGTCATTGTGTCATATAAGCTCAGCTTTGATGTGATCACACATTAACAGAACTCATAAGGGAAGAAAAATATATTTGTTCTTAAACTCTATGGTGTTAACATTTGCTAGGACAAAATGCTAGGAAGGAAAAAAAGTGACGGTTGTTTTAATGTGTCCTATTGCAAAATAAAATAAAATAAAAATACAGCTGTCTCTTATAATGTTCTCTGAATTCAGATTTTTCAGTAATTGCAGTTGCCCTAGAGTAGGCAACCAAACTTGGTTGATCACCTCAATGAGATGAAGGATCTATAATTTCTCCTTTGTGGGCTCTTTTAAAAAGGACACATGACTGATCATGCTGAGGAAATGAATTCTAAGATATTAGAAAGTGGGTCAGGTCAGTTATGAGAACACCTCATTTGAACTCTTTTCTTAATCTGTTACAAATCCTCTCCAGATGGTGACCTAGAAGACAAGCTCAAGTGAGCCATAAGAAGGCAGGTTAATGAGGATGCAAACATCTAAGTAGAGTTAGTCATGTTTTCTGGAAAATGCAGAGAATTTTTCAGGTGTTTTGTATTTGTTCCACCTGTTCTTTAAAATTAAGGGGAAAGCTTTTATCTTGCTTATTTAGGTGCCTTTAGCAATAAAATGGGGAAATGCTAACGATAGTTTGGCTTCCCAGGAAAGTCAAATACTTATTTGAAGGCAGGGTTTTCCCTCTTATATTTATAATATATTTCCTTATATTTCCTTATATCTGAAAGCCATCACTACAAAATTAAGACATTTCAAGGACATTAATGGCCAGGGTGATCCCAATCAGCTTGGAGTAGCTATTAGCTATTTGCTTGATGCAACAGACCTATCTGTAATCTCCCACAAATGAAAATGGTTGAAAATCCTCAGGATGCAGAAAAACTATCACAGCAAGGAAAAGAACAGTATCTGAGCTTTCTCTTTATTAGTTTTCCATATTTGGGATAGTCTTTGAATGAAACATGGTAGAATCGTGTGAGTTACAGTACATGTGAGTTTCATGTGCCACCTGTCTTCATTCAGCTGCCTGGTGGTCACTTGGGCAGCTGTTTGAGTAGAGGGAATGATGGTGTCCACTACATGCTCCCATTCGCATGTGTACTGAGGCATGCAGGAGTGGGTGTCAGCTAGAAAGTTCCTCCCCCCCTGGAATGTGCTTTAACAGAAAATCAAAATGGTTGAAGTATTGAGCCCATCAGATTTGTTTGGGTGATAGTTTCCATGGGGTCCTAAGCGCCTCCAGATTTTTTTGGTCAGTCCAGACTTTGAACGGTTTCTGGCCCCCTTCCAACAGGTGTCTCCAGGTTAGCAGTGCCCATCTCAC